TGTGACCCAGCCCTTCCCTTGCAGTCGGGGCCCCCTTTGGGAGTGTCATGTACGAATTTGTGGGGAAAGCTTCGCCCTTCCTGGTCCTGGCCTTCCTCGCCCTCTTGGATGGAGGTGAGAAACCAAAGGCTTGAACCCTGCAAATAAAGAAAATTACTGAAATGTGAGTGTTTGGGGGAGAGCCTGAGGGGAGGAAGAGCAGATCACCGTGAGCGATACCATCAGCACTGGTTATTCCATCAAGGATAAATCAGATTTTTGCCATCTCCGGATGACTGACCCAGCAACAGAGCTGGAATTAATCCCTCATTACTTAATACCCCCCCCGATTGCTTTAATGGCTCGAACAGCACATTCAGTAAAGCTCTTTGAGCTGTGAATTCTCTGGCAAGACACCCTTGTCTGCAGCCTCTTGGTGCCACAAAGTCATCGGGCTGTGCCAGCAGAATTGGAGCCTCGTTCTTGCTCCCAGAGCGAGGCCACGGGAGCTTCCCGAGTGCCACAGCAAAGCTCCAGCCAGCAGGAGCTGCATTTGCAGTGGGAAGCGTGGAGCTAATTAAATTACAGCCCTAATTACCATCCTCATCTGGCTGTAAAGCAAGAGATCTGTAATGAAGCGTGTGAGAGCTGCTGGAAAATGAACCGTGGGCCTCGTGCCTATCAAACTTCCTGCTTTCATCCTTTTCTTTTCCTCATCCCATTCCTGGCACGCTCCCAGCTGGCAGCCCCATGGGAGCACTCACACTTTTGGCAGCTTCGGGGGTTGATAAAACCCTTCCAAACCTCTGCAGGTCCCCAGACAGCTCCGGCACGCTGGGGCTGTGCTGCTGGGATGGGTCAGGCCGAGGGGAAGGACAGGGCTGGGTGGGAGGAAGGAGTGGCACCTGCAGGAAGGAGCCACCAGCGCTGTTGTGTCCCCAGCTCTGCAGCTCTGCATCCTGCAGCCCTCCCGTGTCTCCCCCGAGGTGAGCAGGGCGCCGGCTGAGCCAGGTGGGCACTGCCCGGGGCTGGGGGCTGTGCCAGGGGCCAGCTGAGGGCACCCACAGCCCCCTGCCCACCTCACCCCCTTGGCAGGGCACCAAAGCCACGCCGCTGACCACCCTGCTGCGAGACCCCTACATCCTGGTGGCCGCAGGTAAAGGTGGACCCTTCAATCTTGTTAAAGATTCCTTCGTGCCTGCTTGAAACAGCAGCAAAAGGGGCTAAACCTGAGCTTTTTCTCCTCTTCCTCCCTTTTCCAGGGGCCCTGTGCTTCTCCAACATGGGTGTGGCCATGCTGGAGCCCACGCTGCCCATCTGGATGCTGCAGACCATGTGCCCCCCGCAGTGGCAGCTCGGTAGGTCCCCGTGCTCTGCTGGGCTTCGGAGAGTTTGGAATTCCAGAAAAAAAAACCTCCTAGACCCAGCCTGTGACTGATCCCGGCCCAGAGCACTCAGTGCCACGTCCTCAGACACTTCCAGGGACTAAAATTTGGCACTGCGGGAGGGATTGAATCATCTTTTATATCACTCCAAAAAAAAAAAGAAAAAAGAAAAAAGAAGGAAATATCTGCCCTGCTGCGATCCCAGGCTGGGCATGGCTCCAATTCCAGCTGGAAATGCCCTCAGTGGTGGCTGCTCTGCTCTGTTATTGACAAGATTGGATGGAATTTGCTCTGCAGCAGAGCAATAACGGGGCAGGGAGGCAGCGGGGGGCCCTGGGAGCCCATCCCGAGCAGGGCTGGAATTGGGGGAGGCCAGATGGGCTCGGCAGAGGCAGCTCCCAGGGAGATGAGGCCGTTCCCAGCACCCCAGGCAGGGCAGGATGGGCTGTGCTGATTGCCTGGAAAATGGGATGTGGAGATAACAGCAAGAATAAACCAGGAATGGTGATAAAACCCAATTGGAGCAGGAATGACCTGGGGGGTGCCCCGGGCTGCACTTAGATCCCAAATTGGATTGGATTGGGGTTGGAATTGCTCCTGATCGAGTTATCCTCAGCAACAGCCAGGCACTAAAAGCTTCCCTGGAGCAAGGAGGGGCGAGGGGAAAGCGGCACACAGAGATCCTGGAGTGGGAAAAGCACTCAGGGCTGCCCTGTCACCGCTTTGAGGAATTTTGAGGTGATTTTTGAGGAGCTTTGAGGTGATTTTTGAGAAAAAAAAAAAAAAAATCCCAAATGTATTCCCTAAGATGTTCAGGTTCCTGAGATTTGAGAGCAGTTTGGATTCGGAGTTTGACACCAACCCACCCCTCTCACGAGCTGTTCTAAACTCAGGGGCCTTCTTTGTTTTGTGTCTTTCTCCCATAATTCTGGGGAAAATAACCCAGAAGAGCTTGGGCTAAACCTGGAGGATTAACCCCGTTCTGTAGCTGCTAGAGGAGAGGAAATTAAACACAAATCAGTGTGTGCCAATAAGGAAGCAGTCCCAGGGAAATGGAGCTGATCACTTTTATTTATTGTCAGCAGGAGAGGATATGAAAAATAAACAACTAGTAAAGCAGCAGGGAGAGCAAATATTTAATTGTGAGCTACACAATGATCCCTGAGCTTTTTACTTAAGCAGCTTTATTCCTCTTTATTTAGCAAGGGAAAAGGTGGAAGAGGGAGAAACTGTGACAGGAGATGTTCACGTGCCTGGCCTGGCTCATGATATTATCCAAATGAGGCGGCTGGGGGGCTGAAAATTTGTGCAAATCTGCATTTTCTTGCAGCTTTTTAATCCTTTCTGTCTCCCAGGGATGGCGTTCCTGCCTGCCAGCATCTCCTACCTCGTTGGCACCAACCTCTTTGGGATTCTGGCTAACAAGATGGGCAGGTAAGTGGGATATTAAAGATTTTGGCTCAGCCCAGCCCAAATTTCAGCATGTTCTGCTCGAGGCTGAGAACACCTGCCCTCTGCTCACGTTGCAGGTGGCTGTGCTCCATGATTGGGATGGCTGTGGTGGGAATCAGCCTCCTCTGTGTGAGTAGCAAAGCGGAATCTGAGGTGTCTCTGCAGGGATTTTTCACGGTCCTGGCATGGCAAACGCTCAGGGGTTGCTCTGGGAAAGGTCTCTGGATCTTCAGGCTGAGAATTTTGGGATTGTTCAGCCTGGAAAAGGCCATGGGGTGACCGAATTCTGGCTGTCCAGGAGGGAAGATGGGGAGAGAGGATTTGCAAGGGATGGAGGGACAGGACAAGGGGAAATGGCTTCAAAGTGACAGAGGGCAGGGATGGATGGGATATTGGGAGGAAATATCCCTGTGAGGGTGGCGAGGGGCTGGGATGGAATTCCCAGAGGAGCTGTGGCTGCCCCTGGATTGCTGGAAATGTCCAAGGCCAGGCTGGGATAACCTGGTGGGAGGCGTCCCAGCCCATGGCAGGGGTGGGACTGAAAGGGCTTTAAATTCCCTTTTATCCAACCCATTGCATGATTCCATGGAATCCCACCGCTCTCCTGGCCTCACACCTCCTCTCTCTCCTCTCCCAGGTCCCTCTGGCCACCAACATTTACGGGCTGATCGGCCCCAACGCCGGCCTGGGCTTTGCCATAGGTAAGCTGGGGCTGCTCCTGGGCAGCTGCCCCGGGGGCAGCGGGCACTGAGGAGCCCCCAATGCCCCGGGCAGGGATGGTGGACTCCTCCATGATGCCCATCATGGGCTACCTGGTGGACCTGCGCCACACCTCAGCCTACGGCACCGTGTACGCCATCGCCGACGTGGCCTTCTGCATGGGCTTCGCCGTGGGTAGGAGAGTTTTACTCCCGGTGTAGCTACTCAGGGTGTGTCCCCCCGGGGTTTTTGCCCTTTTGGATGTGTGGATTCGCAGGTCCCTCCACGGGCGGGGCGATCGTGCGAGCCCTGGGTTTCCCCTGGCTGATGGTCGCCGTCGGGGCGCTGAACGTGGCGTACGCGCCGCTCTGCCGCCTCCTGCGCAGCCCCCCGGCCGCCGAGGAGAAGATGGTCAGTCGGGGACGCTTTCCTGCACTTCACACCCCCAAGGGTTTGAGGGAATTAAGAATGAATTTGCCAAGGGTTGAGCCGTCCCCGTTAGGCTCTGCGCCGCCCTCAAAAATGGGCAAAAAAAATAAAATTCAGATGGAAGCAAGGAAGTGTGGAGGGTCCTTCCCTGCACTCACTTGTGTTCCCTGGGGAAAAGTCTGCTTTGGATTTTTCCCAGTGTGATAACGCTCCTGCTAACTGTTCAAATTAATCATTATTTTTTTATTAAAGCATGATTTCTGCTGTGCTTCACCCAGGCCATCCTGAGCCAGGAGTGCCCCATGCAACCCAAAAGCTACACCCCGAAGGAAGCCCAGCGGGAATTATCCCTCACGGAGGAGGCGGAAAACGTGGAATAGCCAGGGCAAGGAATGGCCAATGGCAAATTCCATGTCCTGCTTTGGAATTATAATTATGGTTACAGAACGTGGATGTGTGAGCAGACACAGCCAGCGTAGCCTCGTGGCTGAATTTCCAACCTCTTCTCCAACCACCAGGATTTGGAGGCTCCATCCATTCATGTGGGATTTAACCATGGAATCAGCTGGCAGTAAAGATGTCACTGCAATGTCCCCGCTCCTCTGAGGACACTAAAATTTAAACATTCATTTATGTCTTGGTGTAGTCTGATGTATTGTGCTATGTCTGTTCTACTCAGAGCATGTCCTTCCCAACATATATTAAATTAATGTATTCGTTTGAAGAACTCTAAATAAACTGAGGTGGGAATAAGGTTTAGACTCAGTCAATAACGCCAGTTAGATCACTGTATTTAATGTGGATCTGTCAGGTGCTGCAGCCGGAGGGTCTCGGAAGCTCTGAGGGAAGATTTTGTCAGAGAATCTGCACTTTCTCACAGAGCTCCACAGCCCAGCATTAACCCGCCCCAAACACATCGCTCGGGAGCTCTCAGGGTCTGTTTGTGGGAGCGTTTCCTTGATCTCCGTCCTGAGGGGGCGCGGCACCGCCGCCATGACAGCGCGGCCCGCCCTCCTTCCCGCCCTCCTTCCCGCCCTCCTTCCCGCCCTTTTCCCGCCCTCTGCGCCGCCGCTCTCGCGAGATTTTGCGCGCCCCGCCCCTTCCTGTAATGGCGGCGCCCTAGACCGCGCGGCCGGGCCCGCCAGCACCGTCAGTCCCCGCTGTCCCTGCCACCGCTGTCACCGTCACTGCCGTCTCTGCTACCGCTGTCACCTCTGTCACCGCCACCATGCATTCGGACGATGTGAGTCCGACCATTCTTTGGGCCCCGTGTCAGACGGCCCCACGTGGCCCGCGGTCCCCTGTCCCCAGCGCGGCTGTGGCTGAGGGGGACAGCAGGGCCGGGGGGTGTCAGTGGGGATTTGGCAGCAGCAGAGATGCTGTGCTTGCGCTTCCGCAGGGGCACCGCGCTCTCCCTGCCGGGGGAACACCGAGAAAACCCCAGTGTTTGTGGGGTGTCCCCCGTCAGAGCCGCACCGGAGGCGGGGGGGACAAGGGGGACCGGGTGAGGGATGTCACGGAGTGTCACCCGCTGTTTGTCCCCGCAGGTTGTCTGGAACATGCTGGGGAACAGGCAGTTCTGTTCCTACAAGATGACGTGAGTTTGGGGGGACGGGGTGGGCTGAGCCCAGGGGGGGCTTTGGGGAGATCCAGCAGGGAAAGGAACGGGAGGGACATGCACGGGTACCCCCCCAGACCCCATAGTGTCACCTTTGTGTCACCATGTGAGAGTCACAGAGCATGGGGTGAGCTGTGGGAGCAGTGGGGTTTTCCTGCCCTTCCCTCATTCATTCCTTGTCCCCTTTTTTTCAGCACCAAAACGCAGAATTTCTGCAGGAACGAGTACAACCTGACAGGGCTGTGCAACCGCTCCTCCTGCCCGCTGGCCAACAGCCAGTACGCCACTGTCCGTGAGGAGAAAGGTGACAGCAGGGACAGCAGGGGGAATCCATTCCTAGGAAGGGTGTCAGGCCTTGGAAGGGGCTGCCCAGGGCGGGTTTGGAGTCCCCATCCCTGGAGGTGTCATGGGAATGCCAGGATGTGGCACTCAGTGCTGTGGGCTGGGGACAAGGTGGGGATCAAAGGTTGGGTTTGGTGCTGGAAGTGTTTCCCACTCTGGATGGTTCTGGGATCCAGCCGTGGGCAGGGAGGGGTGGTGGCACTGCCTGAGGGCAGCCCAGCTGCGGGCAGGGCTCAGGGGCTTTGTTGCTGTTCCCAGGTCGCTGTTATCTCTACATGAAGACGATCGAGAGGGCGGCGTTTCCCCGGCGCCTCTGGGAGCGGGTGAGCTCGGGGACACGCAGGGACAGCAGCTCCGTGTCCCCACTGAGGGGAGGGAGGGAAGCTCTGCCAGGGGAGGCTCAGCTTGGACAGCAAGAGGAGTTTCCCCACAGAAAGGGTTGGAACTGCCCAGGGAGGTTTGGAATGCCCATCCCTGGAGGTGGCACTGGGGACAAGGTGGGGATCCACCTTGGGGGGTTTTTCCTTGATGATTCCGTGACTCTGGGGGTGATGCAGCCCCTCCCAAACGTCCCTTTTTTGTCCTGCTCTGCCACCCAACCCTTCCCCTGACCCTGCAGGTGCTGCTGAGCAAGAACTACGAGAAGGCTCTGGAGGAGATTGATGAGAACCTCATCTACTGGCCCCGCTTCATCCGGCACAAGTGCAAGCAGAGGTTCACCAAGATCACGCAGTACCTGATCCGCATCCGCAAGCTGACCCTCAAGAGACAGTAAGGGACACAGGAGTGACCATGGAAGTGACCACTGGTGGCTTCTGGAGCCACTGGCCCTCTGTCACTGCTGGGACACGGAGCTGGTGCTCGTTTTCCAGGGTTTTGGATGGATCTGACATGGATGAGCTGAAGGAATCCTGTGTATAAATGTGCTGAGCTGGGAGGAACCCACAGGGATCATTGATCCCAAATCCTGGCTCTGCACAGACACCCCAACAACCCCTCCTGTCTCTGAGAGCAGTGTCCATCGTGGAGCTCTGGCAGCCCCAGGGCTTTGCCCATTTCGTGGGCAGGGCCCAGCACCCTCTGGGGGAAGAACCTTCCCCTAAAATCTGACCTGAGCCTGCCCTGACCCAGCTCCAGCCATGTCCCTGTCACAGAGAGCAGAGATCAGAGCTGTCCCTCGGGAGCAGCTGCTCCTCCTGTGACCCCTCCATCATTTAGATCTTTCTTCTCCTGAGGCACCCAACCCTCAGGACATTCCACCCGTTGGGAATGCTGCAGCTGCTGGCTGTTGTCCCAGAGCTGTGAGATTCCCAGTGCCTGTTCCCTGCAGGAGGAAGCTCGTCCCGCTGCGCAGGAAGATCGAGAGGCGCGAGAACAGGCGAGAGGTGAGGACAGCCCTGTGTCACTGCTGTCCCCTGCTGCTGTCCCCACTGCCCCTGGGCCTCACAGGGCTGCTCTGTGCTCTTCTCTGTGTTAGGAGAAAGCTCTGATCGCTGCCCAGCTGGACAATGCCATCGAGAAGGAGCTGCTGGAGAGGCTGAAGCAGGACACGGTGAGTGAGGGTCACACAGAGCTCACAGTGGTGCCTGGCTCCCCAAAAACACAGGGAGCCCCAAAACATAAAGGCTCCCAAAAAAAAAAGGGAGCCCCAAAACATGGAGTCCCAAAACATGAGGGCTCCCCAAAACACAAGGAGCTCCAAAACACAGGGAGCCCCAAATCATGAGGGCTCCCCTCGTATCACAGGGAGCCTCAAAACACGAGGGCTCCCCTCCTGTTCCGTGCAGGACTGTGGGGTCAGGGTTGGGCTGATCCACACCTCAGCCTGATGCTGCCCCGTGCAGGCTTTCAGTGCCCCCCACCTCCAAAGTCCATCTTCCTCCTGTGGCTTACAGAAAATCCCAATTTTCCTTTCAGTATGGAGACATTTACAACTTCCCCATCCACGCCTTTGACAAGGCCCTGCAGCAGCAAGATGCTGAGAGCGAGAGCGACTCGGATGCAGAGAGGGAGGAAGACGATGATGATGATGAGGTAAAGCTTCCAGCCCTGCCCTGGTGCTGCCCCTTCCTGCTGGAAAGACCTCAGAAAAACATGATGGTGGCCTTGGTGGCTCTCCCGTGGCACTGCTGTGCCCAGTCCCTGCCTCTGTTCCTTGCAGGACGTGGATAAGAGGGAATTTGTGGAAGCAGAGGACAGCGAGCTCAGCGACTTTGAGGTGGGTGAAGCACCAGGTACAAACCTCCACCCTTGAGTGTCTGGGGATGGTAAGAGGCAGCAAAATCAGAGAATTGGACAGTGGGAGCCCAGCCCAGCTCCTCTGGAGCCACGGACTGTGGGATGGGGTCACACACGAGGGGATTCTGGGGACAGAGGAGGTTTAGTTACACAAGCTGCTCTGACATCACTGTGCTCACTCAATCCTTGCTCAGGACATGGATAAGTTGGAGACAAGCAGTGAAGAGGAGCAGGAAGAGGAGGAAGAAGTAGAGAAGAAAGCCTCGAACTGCAGATGGAAAGGGAAAACGCCCCTGAAGGGCCCAGCCAGGAGAAAACGTCCCCACATTGAGATCGAGTACGAGGAGGAAACAGAGCCAAGCACCAAGACAAAAGCAGCCTGAGCCCTCCCTGGCCCCTTTCTGTAGTGACTGACACAACTCCAGCTGTGCCAGCAGAGTGGCAGTGCAGCATCTGTCACCCACCTGCCACCCCTGCTCAGGACCCCCGGCAACTCCTGCTTTTACACTCCCCACGTTCTCTGCAAGAGCAAGGGGGTTTGTGTCCCGAGCCCGGGCAGCTGCACTCAGTTTGTACAACTCGGAGGAACTTCCCCCACCTCCCGTGCGAGCACGAGCAGCTCAGCCCAGACTCTGCTCCAGGAGGAGCCTGGGGGGGCTCTGCTGCTTCTTCTGAGGCTGCAGAAACCTCGGGTGGCCCTGGGGACACTTGGATGTGTCTGGGGGAGGTGTAGGGCACACAGGTGGGGCAAGAACGACAGAACTCTTCAATAAACACAAGAAATTTATTGTGCAGAAGGGGCTGAGCAGTGTCAGGCCCCTCAGGTGCTCTCCTGCACCTTCCTGAGGCACTCCCTCACCTGCTTCTCCTCACAGCTGCTCTGCACCCCCTGCAGCAGCACCTGCAGGGACAAAAGCAGCACTGCCAGTGTCCCGGCACTGCAGGATGGTGCCACCCACCCTCCCCGGCTCCAGCTGTGCACAGCTGTGCTCAGCAGCCCTCACTGTGCCCTCAGCCCAGCAGTGCCAGGCACTGGGACCCCTGCACTGGCCCTTCCTGCTGCTCTATCAGCTCAAATTCCAGCATAATCCTGGAATTTGCTAGGAAAACAAAACAGCAAACGCTCTAAGCTCTGCCCAGTTTTGGCCTGGTAACAACACAAGTGTAAAAGGCAGCAGTTTTGAGTGAACAAATGATGAAAAGCCACTTTTGTTGAGGAGTCCCAGATGCAGCACAGCTCTTACTGGCACAGGACAGGAGTTTGTGTTTGGCTGTGACTGATTTGCAAACATCTGCTGAGAACAGACTCAAAAAGTCCAACATGAGAATAATAATAATATATGGCAGTGTTAATTGATAATAATAATAATAATAATGTAGCAGTGTTCACAGCCAGGCCCCAGCATGTCATACACAGATTGATCCCCGGGTCACTTATTGATTGATTGATTGATTGATTGATTGTTGATACTGGGGAGGGGGGAAAACCAAAATCCTGCTGGGCTGAGAGGGAAGAGGGCACTGGGAGGCAGCACAGAGCCCGGACTCACCTTCACGTGGCCCTGGGAGCAGTGATCCAGCAGGATGAGGCACTGGGTGGCCCTGTGGAGCAGGGCAGCTCTGATGGGCTCTGGTGTCGGGCCCCGCTCAGTGTGAACGTCCCAGAGCAGCCTCAGCAGGGCCTTGAGCAGCACTGGGAGCCTGCAGGGCATCCTGCAAGGGAAACAGCTCATCCCAAACCCAGCGTGAGCCAGGGCATGGCACAGCCTGGGGCTGGACTGGGGCCACGACAGACCTGGACACGCAGGAAGCTCAGGATGGGGTTGGGAATTGGGAATGGTGGCACTGGGCAGCCCAGGGCACAGCACAGGGTTTAATTGATTGATTAAATCCACATTGGTTTAATCTGTGCTTTTGGAACAAGCACAGGTGGGATCAAAATTTTAATTTTAATTTTGGAGCTGGGTTTTTCAGTAATGCCAGCGAGTACTGCCTGGGACAGATTTTCCTTTAGGATTTCAGGGCCTTTTCCTCAAGAAAAAGTAACTTTGGGTTTTAGAGTGGAAACATTCAGGACAGGAATGAATTCAGGTCAGGACAGCTTCTCTGTGTGTGATCCCCAGAGAGGTACCTGGGCCAGGCGTGCTCTATGGTGCACTGCAGAGTCTCCAGGATTGCCAGCCTGGCCTCTTCCTTAGGCCCATCAGAGACCTCCAGGTAGCCCAGGATGACTCTCTCCAGCCTCTTCAGGTGCCTCACGATGAGGATGCCAAGTCTGGAGGCACAAACACACCCTGAGGAGGGAGGACAGATACCCATGGTTCCCAAAAACACCCTGAGGAGGGAGCACACCCTTGGCTACCAAGCCCAGGGCCTTTCCCTGTGCTCCCACCCCCTCAGGAAGGTGGGCAGTGCCCCCAGGTGCCCCTGTGTCTCACCTGGTGACAAAGGCAGGCAGGGTCCCTGCGTAGACCCTGCGCAGTGCCAGCCCGTACTCGGCCTCCATGTGGGTCAGCACCAGCTGCAGCACCTGGTCCCAGGGGGACACAGCCCTGCCCTGGCCCTGGTGCCTCTGGCATCGCTGCAGGATGGGCAGCAGGTCCAGCAGGCACAGCAGCACTGCCTGGTTTGGGGACAGATGGGCAATGTGAGCTCCTGCTCTCACCAAAACACAGCAGAGCCCAGCCCTGCTGCCACCCACAGCTCAGTGCTCCTCCCTCTGGGCAATTTCCTGCAATCTATCGAGTTTGTCTCACAGCCTGGCTGGACTTGAGGCTCAGCCTTAAACCGAGGGGCTGCCACCAGCCCAAGGCACCTTAAACCCAAGTGCAGGCGTCCCACCTGGATGAGAGGGGCCTCCCGTGAGTAGAGGTGGTTGTAGAGGGCGTGGAACAGCACCTGGGCCCTGTTGAACTGGCACAGATCCGCTCCTGGCTGCAACAACAGAGAGCAGGGCGTTAATCCTGGGCAGTGTAAAGCCTAAGCAAAGCTCAGCCTTCCTAAAGCCTGGGAAATGCAGGTTCAACCCTGCCCTGCACCAGAAGGAGAAGTTGGGAACCTGAGCCACAGGAGGGAAGGGCTGGGGCTGTGTCAGGGCAGGATTTTAGGGAAAGGTTTGTCCTCCACAGAGTGCTGGGCACTGCCCAGGGCATGGGCACAGCCCCGAGGCTGGCAGAGCTGCAGGAAACGCTCTCACGGATGAGATCGTCGGGTCTGTGCAGGGCCAGGGGTGACAACCGATCCCTGTGTGTCCCTCCCAGCTCAGGACACCCTGTGCTTGTCCCTCCCTTCACAGCACACCCGCTCAGGGCTCCAAGCCCTGCCTCCCTCACCACGTTGAGCACGATGTGGTGCAGGCAGCGCACGCCCAGCACTTTGTTCTCCTCCTGGAAATCATCGGAGAGGAGCAGCGCGGGCGGCAGGACCCGCTCCAGGTGCGGGCACAGCCAGGGCCGGCACACGCGGAGCAGAGCCCAGGAAAACACGTCCTTGGAGGCAGGGTTACACTTCCAGGTGTCTCTGCAGGGACAGACACGGCTCAGCGAACACACAGCGCTCATCTCCCGTGCACTGAGGCTCCCAGCTGGCAGCAAACTCTGACACTCATCCCCCAAAACCCTCCTGCTGGGCATTTGTGACAATCATCTCCCAACACCTTCCTGCTGGGCATTTGTGACAATCACCCCCAACACCTTCCTGCTGGGCATTTGTGACAATCATCTCCCAACACCTTCCTGCTGGGCATTTGTGACAATCATCTCCCAACACCTTCCTGCTGGGCATTTGTGAAGCTCCTGGTTTCATATTTATCGTCTCTGGAGCTGAGGCTCCGTTTCCCGGTATTTCGCCACCCTCCCCTTCCCACTCACTTGGTTAACTCCTTCTTCAGGAGCCCCATCACCGCTCCAAATCTTCCTTCCTCATCCCCCTCCTTTCCCCGCAGGAATTCCTCCACGGACCCGCAGCCCGCAGCCTGGACCAGCCGCTCCAGCACCTCCTGGGCCACGGCCCGGCTGCTCGCCGTGGTCCAGGGCCGCTGCTCCTTGTGTGTGACAGCGAATATGAACGCGTGTCCCAGCAGCCGCCGCAGGCCGCTCGCCCCTGGCGAATGCTGGCCCCTGGCAGCTTCCAGCTTCTGCAGGAGCAGCAGGAACACGGCTCCAACGCGCTCTGCCCGCTCCGCCACAGCGGCCAGCGCCGCGTCCTGCCCGGGGGGCTCGGCCCCGTCCTGCTCCCGGCGCGGCGGTGCCGCCAAGTCGCCCAAAGCCGCGGCCAGCTCGCCCAGCGCCGCGGGGCCGGCCGTGCCCAGCAGCCAGCGCGGATCCGCCGCCTGCAGCAGCGCGCTCAGCTCCCGGAGAGCCCCGGGCTCGGCCAGCGCCAGCCGGGCCTGCAGCAGCGCCTGCTCGGCCGAGGGGGCGGCGGGCGCCGGGGGAGGCTGCCCCGGCCCCCGCTCCATGGCCTGGCACAGCCCGGCGGGACCTGCCCGCCCTGGAACCCCTTACACGCACATCGGTGGTGGCAGCAGCGCCCTAAGCGGAACGGGGAGCACCCCTGGGACCACTGAAAACCCCCGGGATTCCCTCAGAGACCCCCGAGCTGCCCCGGGATTCCCTCAGAGACCCCCGAGCTGCCCCGGGATTCCCTCAGAGACCCCCGAGCTGCCCCGGGATTCCCTCAGAGACCCCCGAGCTCCCCCGGTCCCGTCTCCGCAGCGGCGCCGCCGCCACGAGCTCCACGCGCGCCAACTGTCGCAAAACCACCCCCGTTGCCGTAAAGCCGACGGCGAAGAGGTGTGGCTTATTGTGCATATATTAGCATTGCTAATGAAAAAGCGCGAAGAGGGGCAGAGGGGCGGTGTGGAGGGGAGAGAACGGGGAGTGCAGGGAAGGGAGGAAAGGATTCAGAGAGGGCAGAACAAGGAGGGGGGAGAGCTGTGTGGGGACAGAGCTGTCGCCATGACTTGCAGAGCAGTGGCGCGGCGCTAGGTGCGGGCGCGGGAGGCACGGCCGCGATCCTTCCGGTTCATGGAGATGATGAATGGGAGTGGCACGCGGCTGCGTGACGTGTGCGCCCTGCGTTACGACATTGCACAGTCCCATCTGACCGCCGGGGGGTCCTGACGTCGCTCTGACGTCACTTCCTTTTTCATGTCCAAAAGTAGATTCCGGTGTTCCTTGAGGCGCTGCGTCACTGTTTGCGTTCCCACTTCATGTGTGAGGTGCCCTGCGTTCGGGTCCGTCGCGTCACTGCCCTTTTATCTCCTTCCCGTATCGATAATCGGCGGGAATGACCGAATTAAGCGGGGGATGCGCAGCTCCTGGGCTCTGTATGATGTCACTGCTGATGTCAAAAATCACTGAGAATGGGCAAATCAGGGGGGCCACCCCGATGTGGGCACAGCTTTGGAGGGTGACCGGCCCCGGAGGGGTCAGCGGTGTCACTGCTGGCGTCATCTTCACATGGTTGTGTAAAAAATTGGGGAAAACGGGGAGATGGGGGGGTCTGACGATGTGGGGACAGCTCTTGGGGTGCCTTGGGGCTGCGGGAGTCAGTGATGTCGCTGCTGTTGTCATCTTCCCCCGGACATGTCACAAATGAGGGAAAACGGGGAGATCGGGGGGTTCTAGCCCGGTCTGGGCACAGTCTGGGGGGTCCTGGCCCGGGGGGGGGGGCAGCACTTTGATGCTATTTTGGGCGATTTGTCACCGCGTCAAAGGGTCACGGCCAGCAGTGTCCCCTCCTCGGGCACTTGGGGGGCTCAGCATCACCCTGGGGTCCCCTGAGCCATCCCTGCAGCACCCACAGCTCAGACGGGCTGAAAATCACCCGTTTAATCACTTTTGGACACAAAACTGTGCAAAATCCCTGTGCCCCGTGGGGATCCCGAGGGGCTCAGGTACAAAAATAACTCTGTGCAAACAAGGGGGGCCAGGGGAGAAAGGATCCCTCACCCGCACCCTGGGGCTTCCCACAGGGAATTCCAGCCTGTCCCGGCTCCATGGGGCAGGAATAATTCGGGAATGGCGATTCCTACAAGGAATTCCCGGCTCCCGCCCCGCTCTGCCAGCCCCTCTCACTTTCTCTGGAAGGTGTCCTGGCACCCCAGCTCCTCCTTCAGCCCAAAATGCTGCAGGCAGACGGCGCAGGTCCGCTGTGGGAGGTGAGATGGAGGCTGAGGGCGGGTGTGAACGTGGGGGATCCGCCAGAAATGCCGGGAAATCCCGGGAAATTCCAGCCGGGAGCTCAGCCCAGGTCCCAAAGCACCCGCGGGGAGAGGGATTCCCTCCCGATCGGGGCCCGCACATCCCCGCATCCATCCCCGGCCTGTCCCGAGGGTTATCCCGGGTTAATCCCAGCTCCATCCCCAGCCTGTCCCGAGGGTTATCCCGGGTTAATCCCAGCTCCATCCCCGGCCTGTCCCGAGGGTTATCTCGATTGATTTTAGCTCCATTCCCAGCCTGTCCCGAGGTTATCCCGGTTTAATCCCAGCTCCATCCCCAGCCTGTCCCGAGGTTATCCCGGGTTAATCCCAGCTCCATCCCCGGCTGGAGCCGGTCCCGCTCATCCCGTGCACGTTCAGCAATCGGGGGGGATCTGGATCCTTGGGGAACGCGCCCCTCCCGCCCGGGATTCGGGATCGGCGGCTCCGGGGCTCCGTTTGTGCAGGAGCGGTCGGGAATGGGCAGCGGGAGCGCCCAGGGGTGCCAGCGGCGATTGTTTGCCCTCGGAAATCAGGGCAGGAAGAAGCCAGAAGAAGTCAAGCAGGACAGGAAGAACTGGATTTTCCAGCGCTCGGCCCCGCCGTGACTTTGGCCGGGGAAAAGCGCCGGGCACGGAACCGCGGGCATGGCGAGGAGGGCACGGCCTCTCCCAAAAAAAACAGCGCTCCCAAAAATGGCTGAGGGATGCAGGGCTGGCCCTGCAGGAGCAGCAGCTGCAGCCTCGGCTTTGGGGTTACAAAGAGCAGGGGGAGCAGGGAAAGGCTCATCCTCCCCTCCCTGCCCCGCACAGCGCGGCCCCCGCACCTCCCCTGGAAATCGGGAGCCCCTTCCTGCTCTTCCTGCCCTGCTCCAGGATTTGTCCCGGATTTCTGGGACAAAACAGGATCTGGGAATGGCCAGAGACACCGAGCCCCCGGCTCACCCGATGAAGTAGCAGCAGAAGATGAGGCTGAGCACGAAGATGAAGATGCCGGTGCCGAAAATAACCATGGAGATGTTGAGGGGCGGGTCCTGGAAGGTGATGGGCACCTGGGGACTCTGGGAATGCCAGCCCACCTGGGGGACCCCAAGGCTGCCAGCCTGGCTCTGCTGGTCACCAGGAGTCACCGTTGTCCCCACTGCTGGGAAAAAGAGGAGGCAACTCCAGGAGAGGATGTGAGTGGGGAACCCCAGGACAGGCACTGGGCAGGATCTCAGGTTTGGGTATTAAATGTGATTTCAGGTTTGGGCACTGAGCGGGGCTCAGGTTTGGGTATTAAATGCGATCTCAGGTTTGATCCCTGGCCTGAGAATTTGGGGGCACTCGGGTGCCACTCCATCCCCAGCCCTGTGCCAGGTGCCAGCCTGAGCTGTCCCCAAGCCCACGAGATGTCCCCAGGCTGTTCCTTAGCACTACCTTTATTCACAGGGTGACACGAGGCACGGACAACACCTGAACACCACGAGAGGAGCTGAGCCTGAGCCCACACACCAGACCTGACATCACCAGAAACACACGGGACACACGACAGGGGACACACAGCGCTGCAGGCTCCTGCCAGGGAGGGACACAAATGCCAGGGGGGGACAACAAAGCCTTGGAGGCTCCCTGGAGGCCGCAGGGATGGAGAGATGGGTGATGTGGGGCCGGGCCCCTCCGGAGGCGCCTTGGAGCGAGCGGGCTGGGATGGAAGCCATGGCCAGACCTCCCTGGGTGGCCCTGCAGGACCAGGGCCTGGGCTGGACCACGGGACACCCCCAGGGCTGGGCAGGGCTCCCACGGTGCCCTCAGGAGCTCCTCTTGAGCCGCAGGGCGTTGTCCAGGGCCACCAGCTGGCGCAGGAAGCCGCGGTTGGGGATGATCCCGCGGTGGTCCTTGACCGTCTTTATGGCTTCCACCAGGGGCATGTGGTGGCGGATCATGAGGTAGGCGAGGACCAAGGTGGCCGACCTGCTGACCCCGACAGCACAGTGCACCAGGATCCTCCCTGCGGGGTGAGGGGGGACAGGACACAGCGGCTGCGTCAGCACAGCCCCAAAATTCCCCATGGGAAAAGTGCTGAGTACCCACCCAGCCCTGGAGCACCCGGAGCCGGGGCTCGGGTGTGGACACACACATTCACAGAGCTGGGGAATCACAGCTTGGGAATTCTCCCCAGGCCTGGATTTCTCCTGACTCTCAGCTCCATTCCCAGGCTGACAAGCTGACTGCAGCTTCAGTTAGGGAGGAGTCTCCCAGGGTGACAACACGGTGACAAACAGAGTGGAATTCATCACCAACATTAACCCCTGGTGTCTTTCCCGTGGGACACATCCTGAGGTGCTGTCCCAAGGATGTTTTTCCCAATTGTCCAATGAGCTCCTGTCCTGTCCTGGCTGCACTAACCACTGGGGTTATCCTGTGGAGGGGACACCACTGGGGTTATCCCATGAGGGGACACCATCAAGGTGATCTCACGAAGAAACACCATCCAGGTGACCCCATAAGGAAACACCATTGAGGTGATCCTGTGGAGGAGACACCATCCAGGTACCCCCATGAGAAGACACCACCCCAACCTCCAAACCCCTTTGTTTCCCAAGCTCCCCAACAACACCCACCCCAAAGCAGCTCCCCCATCCCTCCCCTCTCTCCTCTCCCCCCCTTGCCCAGGCACCTTCATTGAGAGCCTGGTGGATGAAGTCAGCGGCGGGGTAGAAGTAGGGGCTCATGTCGAAGGAGGGCGAGTCGTGGGCCTCGATGCCCAGGTAACGGATGCCCGTGCCCTCGTAGAGGTCGGCGCCGCCGCGCCAGCGGCAGTGGGAGGCGTTCAGCACGTGGGTGATGCGCAGCTGCAGCAGCTCCCGCCGGTTGGACGCCATGTCTCTGCAGGGGGGGGATAATTGCTGAAAGATTGGTGTCAATCACAAAAGCCTTGGGGTTTGTGTAAACCAGAATGCTGAGCTCTGAAGTGACACGAGGTAAAGGAAATTGTATGATAAAATCATTCTGTTTAAAATCACCTTGTTATGTTATATTATGTTGTATTATGTTACATTGTATTATGTTTTGTGATGTTTTCCAAATAAGTTGTATCGGCTACCAGCTTGCAAGATCAGACTTCCCAATAGCCCTTCCTGCCTTTGTCTGATCAATGCTGATCAATGATTTTCCAATAGCCCTTCCTGCCTTTGTCTGATCAATGCTGCCTATCCCAAAAACCAGACTCCCAGACCTTCCCTGGTGGTTCTCTCCAAGGCCCAGCTGGCTGTGACTGATTATCACCCAAAGGCTTTGTCAATTTGTGTGAGGATGTTCATTCAACCACCACTGCTTATGACAACAAAAAAAACCCCAAAAATTATTGATTACAATAAGAAACCACAGTATAAGTCTCCCAGGGTGATGTTTGTCCCAATTGTCCAATGAGCTCCTGTCCTGTCCTGGCTGCACTGACACACTTTAAATCCAGGCTGTCTGTACCATAAATTGCCCTTTTCCCCCCAAAGATCTCCATGTGTGTTGCTGTCTTTTCTCTCTCTTTGCAGTGCCTTACTGGTCCTACTGGACACTCACTGGTCTCCCAGGTAGAGGCCTGGCCACACCTCGTCGGCGTGGTTGCAGGCGGTTTTGCCGGTGTAGAGCAGCCGCTCCAGCTCGAAGACGCTGAGGATGGGGTGGGTGCCGCGCTCGTCCCGCGGGGCCCGGCTCGGGGACCGGCTGCTGTTCCTGTAGAACCTGGACAGGAAAGCCATGGGAGCTGCCCAGACCCACAAGGCATGCCTGTGGGGGCGGGGAGGCCGGGCGGGGGCCTGGGGGTCACTTCTGCTGCTGCTGCCACCCACGGTCCTGTCGGGAAGCAGTGGAGAGGCTGTCAGGACAAAGGGATCTTCAACCAGGCGTGTCCAGGGGAGGGAATGGGGCTGGGAAGGGGCTGGAGCCCCAGGAGAGGCTGAGGGAGCTGGGAAGGGGAGAAAAGGAAGCTCAGCAGGGACCCTGTGGCTCTGCACAACTCCTGACAGGAGGGGACAGCCGGGGGGATTTGGGATCTGGGAACAGGGACAGGAGGAGAGGGAACGGCCTCAGGGGAGCTCAGGGTGGACAGCAGCAGGAATTTCCCCATGGAAAGGGTGGGCAGGGATTGGAACTGCCCAGGGGGGTTTGGAGTCACCAAGGAACAACTGGAGGTGGCTCTCAGTGCTCGGGCATTGGGCACAGCTTGGACTCGATGACCCTGGAGGGCTTTTCCAGCCTCAGGGATTTGGGGGTTCTGTGGTGCTGCAATCTGGGAGCTCTCACTCCGTCCCTGCTGTGGGATCTCACCCTGCTGCTGTCAGGGGCCGAGCATTCCCTCCCATCCCTTCCCAGAGGGAAAACTGCTGGGGAGAAATTCCTGCTGCCAGGGCTGGGGAGGCAGCCAGAGCCTCCAGAGCCCCACAGCTTTGGGCTGAGGCCACCTTGGCAGGAGTTGCCCTGCCCAGGACCACCTCCCGTGCCTCTGCTGCCAGGGGACGGTGCCAGCTCGGCACTGCCAACCTGAGGGAAGGCGGCCAGGTCTGGGCACGGCACCAGCGCTGGGGAGGAAAAGCCCCCAGACAGGTGGAGGGTTCCAGATGGCACCGGGCAGCCTGGCCAGGGCCCAGCCTCCTCCAGAGCCCCACAAACCCTGCAGGGAGGGCGGGGCAGGGTTAACCCTCCGTGGGCGCGCTCCTGCAGCTGCCCCCGAGCGCCCAGGGCTGCTCTGGGGTGGGAAGGGTTAACCGCAGGGCTGTTTTGGGGTGGGAAGGGTTAACTGCAGGGCTGTTTTGGGGTGGGAAGGGTTAACTGCGGGGTATGAGGAAGCTCCTTTTAGCCAGCAGCTCCTCCTGCTCCCAAACCCGCGGATCATTCGCTGCTGTCACACATCTGCAAGGACCCTCCCTCGGGCAGTTCCAGCTGTGTCCAGATGTGCTCAGAGAGGCCTTTTTGTGCTCCCTCAGGAGGAGAAATTCTCCTTCTCGCCTCGCTGCTGCTGCCCCGAGTGCCCTGGAGCCTCCCCTCCCCTCCCAAGCTGGGGCCGGGCGAGGCGCAGCGACCTTGGGCTGGCCGGGCTGGGCACAGCCTGTCCCTGCTCGGTGACATTCCCGAGCCTCCCGAGCCTCCAGAGCAGAGGAAAACACGGCAAGGGCAGGGGGGAGCTCGGAGGGAGCCCAGGGGGCACCCAGGGATGTCCCCCTGCCCCTTCCGTGTGCCAGGAGGGGCAGCTCAGACCCTGCCTGGCACCTCCGGGGTGCTGCCAGCCCTGCCCCAGTGTCACCCCTGGCCCCCAGCCCTACCCCAGTGTCACCCCTGGTCCCCAGCCCAGCTCGGCCCAGCGCAGGCTCCCAGCGCGGCACCTGGGCTGGAACCTGGGCTCCTCCAGGCTGGGAATTCGGGCTTGGCAAAGCCCAGCTCTGAAACCTTGTGTGACCTTGGCTGCAGCACAGCCACGCGTCCCCAGCCGCGGGCAGCGCCGGGATCATGGAGAGGGCTGGAACAGCGAAATTCCAGCCCCTCTTATGGCCACAGCTGGATGGGAAAAACAACAATCCCCATCCAGCCTCTCTTATGGCCACAGCTGGATGGGAAAACACCAGAAAAACACCCCAGGCCGGGCTGCAGCCGCTGCCAGGCGGGTCCAGGGGCTCAGGGGCTCAGCTCTGTGAGCTGGGAACGGCCCCGGAGCGCTCCTGGCACCTCCCGGGCTGGGCTGGAGCCCTCGGGCTCTCGGGACCCTGCCGGGAGGGAGGGGAGGGATGCGGGGAGGGTCCCGAGGGATGCGGGGAGGGTCCTGAGGAATGCGGGGAGGGTCCCGTGAGAGGCGGGGAGGGTCCCGAGGGACGCGGGGAGCCGTGCGGGATGCAGGGATGATCCCCTGGGATGCAGGAATGACCCCATAGGATACAGGAATGACCCCGTGGGATGCAGGAACGATCCCATGGGATGCAGGAATGACCCCGCGGGGTGCAGGAAGGATCCCATGGGATGCAGGAACGATCCCATGGGACGCAGGAATGACCCTGTGGGATGCAGGAACGATCCCATGGGATGCAGGAATGACCCCATAGGATGCAGGAACGGTCCCATGGGACGCAGGAATGACCCTGTGGGATGCAGGAACGATCCCATGGGATGCAGGAACGGTCCCATGGGACGCAGGAAGGAGCCGTGCCGAGGCTCCGCGGCTCAGGGACACCCCGGGACCCGCGGGGAGGGGTTGGGCCACCCCCGAGCGTACCTTGGCGAGGGCCGGGAGCCGGGGCAGGATCGGAGCGGGATCAGCTCCTGTCGGCCATGTCTCGCTGCTGCCGCCGCCGCTGGAGAGACGCTGATGGAGGAAGAGCTATTTTAAGGCATGACATGGCCAGGGGCAGCGTTGTTTGTGCCAGGCTGTGCGCGGAGGGGACCCAGGGACACCGCGGGCACCCAAAGCGACAGCGACAACGACAGCGGGGTCCCCAAATCCTCCGCTGTCCCTCCTCCTCCTCCTCTTCCTCCTCCTCCCGGAGCCACAGGCGCGCAGGGGAGAGGAGCAGGAGCTGCCCAAAGTGGTGCTGAGGACGTGGTTTCCCTCCCCGGGGATCTGCAGCAGGCTCCAGATGTTTTGGGGGTTTTTTGGTATTTTTTTCCTTCCTCTCCCTTTGTACATCCAGGGCTCGGTGAGGATTTTCTGCATTTGTAAAGAAAAATAAAGCTTGGGTTGATGTGGGGATATCAAATCAGAGAATGGCTTGGCTTGGAAAGGACCTTAAATATCCACGGTTCCATGGCTCCATTCCAAATTACGACAATTTACAAATCCCTGTCGAAGTCAGGGAATATTTTTTTTCCAGGGGGGAAAAAATTAGCAAAAAAAAAAAAAGAAAATAAATAAAAGAAAAAAAAAAAAAAATAAATAAAAGCGGGAACTCACGGTTGAAGCTTTGTTGTTGTTGTTTTGACAGCTTCTAAACGCCACCATTCATTTCACAAGTGCTGCAATGTTTCAGTTAAACATTTTCCAGGCAGAATATGCAGAACGTGCTCCCGTTCCCTTTGAAGCTCTGCCTTCCCGGAGAAAAGTTTGAGTCAGATCACAAAGTGGGAGTGGGGTGGGAAAAACAACCCGAGGAAGAACAACCGAGCTGCTCCAGGCTGAACATCCCGGGGTTCGCGGCGTGGCCTCCCCCGGCCCTGCTCGACTGAAACCCAGGAATTTCTCCTGGGTTATTTTTGCAGCTGGACCCGTGTTTATATCGGGATATAATCCCGGGATTATCCCAGGCAGGTCCTGGGCAGGTCCTGTCCTCACTGAGCCCAGTGGGGTTTTGCAGCTCTGGGATGCTCCCGGAAAACTCATCCTGAATCCTGGAAAATTGGGTTGATTATCCTTACCTGCAGAAAAAAAAAGAAAAAAAAAAGTTTTCACTTCTGCCTGGCCACACTCCTCCAAAAAACAGGCACGGAGAGGGAATTTCTGAGCTCTATCAGACATTTCAACGAGGCCAGCAGCAGCCCTGGCCCTCCCCTGCCCCAGGGAATCGCATTCCCAGCAGCGTGGAAAATGTTTTTGGGCAGAAGCCCCGGCAGAAAAGGTTAAATCTGAATCTAATAAGTAAATAAGTAAATAAATAAATAAATAAATAAATAAATAAATAAAAACAACAACAAAACTACACGAAGGGAAAGGAGGTGGATAAATGTTTTGGCAGAGCGTTGCCTGCAGGGAGCTCGCCGGTCATTTAAGCGTGGGATTAGTGCTTGTTGTGGTTTTGTTCCAATAATAAAGCCGGGATTGCTTTGTGGAGCAGCCAGAAGTGCCCAACAAAGCCAGGGAGGCTCCTGGGACAACGGAGCTGCCCCGAGGAAAAACAGCCCGGATTTCTGTCCACAGACACAGCCCAGACCTCGCTCCCTGATTTCTGATTCGTCGGAAATTTATCGGATTTATCTGATTTATTTCTTTTATTTTTATAGCTCGGAGGAGCTCCAGGAGCTGCTCTGGAGTCAGAGGCTGGAGCTGGGCCAGGGCTGGGGGGGCACGGACACCCCTGGGCTTTGTGTCACTGTCACCTGCTCCTTGGGATTTGTGTCACTGTCACCTGGTCCTGTTCTTGGTGTCACTGTCACCTGCTCCTTTCTCTTGGTGTCACTGTCACCTGGTCCCTGTTCTTGGTGTCACTGTCACCTGCTCCCTGGGATTTGTGTCACTGTCACCTGCTCCCTGCTCTTGGTGTCACTGTCACCTGCTCCCTGGGATTTGTGTCACTGTCACCTGCTCCCTGCTCTTGGTGTCACTGTCACCTGCTCCCTGCTCTTGGTGTCACTGTCACCTGCTCCCTGCTCTTGGTGTCACTGTCTCCTGGTCCCAGCCCTGTCCCTGCAGGGCCCGGGAAGGGAAATCCTGGCCTTGGATCCCCGAGGCACGGGGGGGGTGAGGGATCAGCCCCAGGCTCCTCCCGGCAGCCTCCCCTTGGAAGCTGCTCCCTCTGGGGAGCCTCCAGCGGCAGGACAGGTGACAGAAATGACAGGTGTCCTGTCCCTGAAATGTCCCTGGAATGTCCCTGGAATGTCCTGTCACCTCTGTGTCCTGTCACCTCCTGTCCCTGTCACCTCTGTGTCCTGTCACCTCTGTCCCTGTCACCTCTGTCCCTGTCACCTGCAGGACAGGTCACAGCAGCAGGGTCCGAGCAGGGATCTGGGAGTGGGAGCTGAGGCTGGAGGAGCCCCCTGGGATGGGATTTATGGGATGGGATGGGATCCATGGGATGGGATTTATGGGATGGAATTTATGGGATTGGATCCATGGGATGGATTTTTTGGGATGGGATTTTTTGGGATGGGACTCATGGGATGGATTTTTTAGGATGGGATCCATGGGATGGGATTTATGGGATGGATTTTTTGGGATGGGATCCATGGGATGGGATTTATGGGATGGATTTTTTGGGATGGGATCCATGGGATGGGATCCATGGGATGGATTTTTTGGGATGGGATCCATGGGATGGGATTTATGGGATGGATTTTTTGGGATGGGATCCATGGGATGGATTTTTTGGGATGGGATCCATGGGATGGAAGCACGGCTGGAAAAGTTGCCGGCTGCAGCCACTGGGGGCTGCTCTGGCTGTTCATAAATCACCTCCGAGCTGTCAGATCAGAGCACTCAGCCCGAGCTCCAGAGCCGCCCTTCCCCGGCTTTAAACTCAACATTAATTTCATTAAACTTATAAAAACATTTCTGCCGCAGCTGAGCACAGCACAGCTCCTCAGGCAGGGCACCAGGCCCTTCGGAGAGGCTGAGTTTTCCAAAGCCAGGCCTAGGATGGGTTTTAGTCTTTGTTTCACCTCCCCATCCTCTGCCCCTGCCTCGGACATTTCCCCACAGAGAATTTCCCGGCTAATGCGAGGGATTTATTTCCATTTTCAGTTTTAAGCACAGCAATAACTCAACGGATCTCATTTTGGGGCAATGAAAGATTGTCCTTATTTTCAGCTCACTTTTGGGTGAGTTTTATTTCCCCCCCCCTCTCTTTTATTGAGCTCTGAACATTAATAATCAACCCTCATTAATTCAGTTAATTCTTCCAATCCTCATATTCTTCGTGCCCAGCGCTATAAAGCCGAGGAGGAGACTGATGAGAGCTGAGGTGGTTGGAGTTATTAAAAATCAATTTTTTAATTTGGGAAGCCTGGGGGTGTTGATATTCTCATCTCACACCTTCCCAGTGTCATCCCTCCCACGGGAATTCCCAGGTGTTGCAGGAAGCAGAGGGGCCCATCCCAAGTTTCTGGGATCCCTCAGTTTTCAGGTGTTGTGAAAACTCCAACCTGGGAGTTGGGAGAGAAGAGCTCTGGAGCATCGAGAGTCCCCTGGAATGGAGGGATTTGGGAATTTTGGGAATTCTGGGATGGCTCTGCCAGATGGAAATTCCTCCTCTCCTTTGAGGGTGGAAAATGCAGAATTTTAAACCCAGGGTGAGGCTGACAGAGCTGGGCCGGGGGGTGAAAATGGGGCCCCAGAGCTGAGTTTACTCCAAATTTCAGGAATAAAAATGGTGATTTTGGGATTCATTCCTGCCTTGGTGTCCATCCAGCCTCTCTCCCTTTCTCTGGCAGCTTTTCCAACTCCTGGATTCCTTCCCACACCTTTGCTCACCTGTGCCAAAGGCTGAACCTCCCTGGGCCCTTCCCTGGGTGAATCCTGTGGGATCCTGGATGTCCAAAGGGTGGGAAAAGGGATGGGAAGGGGCTGAGAATGCCGGGATTCGTGGAATCCTGGCAAATCCTGGATATCCAAAGGGTGAAAAGGGATGGGAAAGAGCTGGGAATGGGGGGATGAGTGGGGAGCGTTGCCTGTGGGATCCTGGCAAATCCTGGATGTTCGAAGGGTGGGAAAAGGTTGGGAATGCCGGGATCTGTGGGATTCTGGCAAATCCTGGATATCCAAAGGTTGAAAAGGGGCTGGGGCAGGTTGGGATGCCGGGATGTGCTGTGGGATCGCAGCTGATCCCGGGTGGGCTCCATGGCAACCGCGGCGTTCCCATCCCATCCCCTCCCCTCAGGATTCTCCTTCCGCCCCTTTTTTTATGGAATGGGAGACAAATCCTCCACCAAACCCACAGACCCAGCCTTGGCCAGCCCCTGTCCTTCCCCTGACTGCGGATAAACCTGGGAAACTCCTCTTGGAGGGGAGCTCCATCAGCTCCAGCCCCGTTCCTGTGGGATTTGTGGGATTTATTTATGGGATTTGTGGGATTTATGGCCGTGACCTTCAGCCCTGCCACATTTGGGTGCCTCCCTCTCCCTCTCCAGGGACATTCCCATTGTGATTCCGGCCGCGTTCCTGCGGGATTCGCTCTGAAATCTCCTCCTCAAACAGATAATTAAAACGTAATGGTGTTTACATTGCCGATGGAGCCGAGAGAAAAATAATAATAATAATAATAACAATAGCCATAATAATCGTAATAAACACGACTTTGCTGCTCAGGGGACTTTGTCAAATGGCTCCTGGAGAGGCCGGGCACACTTTAATGAGTTTAAAGACCGGGATTTACACTCGGCAAACTTCTCCAGTTGTTCACAGGTGACTGCTGAGGTGAAGCTGCTTCCCGGAGCTGTGACTGCAGCAGGACAAAATAGAAATAAAATAATAATAACAATAATAAAAAGGGCATTAAAATCCCATAACTTTTACAGCAGCGGAGCTGCAGGATGGAATTGCAGCTCTGCAGAGTCCGGCAGCGATTCTGAATTAACGGCTTGGATTTTCCAGGCCATTCCAACGGGCTCGTTTCATGCAAGATTAAAAATTACAGCGCCCTGCCTCCCCTGGCACCTGA